TGTCTGACGCGTCTGCCTCCGCGACCCGAAAGGAGAAGCGGCGATGGAAGATGAAGATGAAGATGAAGAACTTTCATAGTACAAAGTTACATATATTACATAAATAAAATACCGGCGTTATACCGTAGTACGACAAATCGATGCCATTACACGTCTTGCATCTAAGGCAAGTAGAGCCGTTAAGATTATAGCACCAAAGATGATGAAAACAAACAACAACAAGATCAATGATACAGCATTACGAAGAATTAGCAAACATCTAGCTGATAAGCTGCAAAGTAAGTTGTTTCTTTGGAATTTTTCATCCATTTGAGCAAAAATGGTAGCGGTAGCGACTAGAGTGCCTCTGTACGACAGATCATTGGTATGAACTGGCTTCGCTTCCCCCTTTTCGGATCGGTACAGATAGTTCGATAATTCATTATGCGAAGGATACGATATATCATCTAGCCCCGGTGGATCCAATGTTGTAAACCTTTGGACCACCGTAGGTAACGTAGCCCCTAGCTGCCAACAGATTAAGCTAATTTCTTTTAACTAATAACTTCATCGTTGCCTGAGTTTACGCCATCATTTGCATGCTAAGCGATATGATATCATGAAATGAAAATAAGTGTGAATACAGCAGTTTTTGACAAACACGGTTTTTGTGACCTACTGATGATATTTCTTACGAGTCCTATTCTATTCAGACAGCATAAATATGAAACCATCTGGTGTACCTTACTCGTTACATTTCACATGTCGGTCCAGTATTATTCAAAGATATTTATTTTCATTTCTTTGCTGAAATGTTCTTGATGGATAGCAAACGTAAGTTCCCTCAGGATGAAGAGCTGATGAATCAAGTGCATAAATCGTATCCTTGGACCTCATTTGATTACTTTCGAGGTCGGAAGGCATTCCGATGACTATTTGCAAAGTCCTTGATGTTTCTGTGAAGTCCGAAGAGCTTCTCTAGACAAAGATTGCGTACTACTGAAGCGAGTATCCTCTTCTTCACACGAATAAAGCACGCAGCCAATTTTCCAGCAAGTATCAGGGACAATACTACGTCGTTGCTTTATTGCGAACCAAGCGAATATGAATGTTGTTGGCGTCAACAACTGCAACTTCAATGACCTGTCAAGTCAGGCAAAGACCCATCGCATGACTGTATGTAGTCAACAATCAGAAATTTGCCGAGAGATGACGTCACAAATATCACAGACAACTGGCAGTGAAGGCTTTTTCAGGCGCACTCCGGCACCAAATGACAAAGTGTATGAGGACGGCAGATTCCTGCTAGCTTGTTTATATGTATGATAGATATAAAAATTTATCATAACAATGAGGTTTACCTGTGTTTCCATTTCCAATCTCTTTGAAGCGTGGAGTGAAAGAGCGCTGAAATCTGGAATGGCTTCTAAAAGAACAACCACGTTAAATGGTGAATTTCAAATATTAAATTAATATTAACTCAAAGGAAGTATTTCATTTTGATTGAGAGCAAATCAAGAGCTAAATATGCAGTTACCTTCTATAAAAATATCCCGCCTCCTGTTTCGCAGAGAAGGGTTAATTACTGATAAGCAGAATGGCAAAATGACAGCCAATATCCAAGCCAAAATCTCGGTTAAAGATACTCAAGGTTTGGGTCTGATAAGGGAGGGGGCGAATCATAAAACATCAACTCGAATTCAGCAGCGAAAAAGGAAGTAAATAGCAAGAACGTTTAAAGTAGTCAAAAAACGACTTGGTAAGAAAAAGCAAGCAATAGCAGCATATCTCTGATAACAGGTTGACAACAAATAATCAATCAATGCAATAATGCAGGAAAAAGGTAAATGGAACCACAGGGTAACTCCGGAATCGCTTTCAAAACTCGCCAATTAGGACAGTTTAAAAGCGACCTGCTTAACTGGTCTTCGTTGGGACGAGGCAAATAAGTCATTTGACATTGCAAAGCATCATAATGGATGTAACAAATGTTAGCTGCACCAGAGAGAGCAAAGGAAACAACGCAGTATTACCTTCTAAGGTCTGTTGTCCGGTTTTTGCAGTGGCCACAACAGTAGCTGTAGCCGAAGTAACATTACGACTGCTGCCTTCAAGCTGCTTCAGCTGCTTAGAATCTTTATCCGCCTTCACAATGCTCGCAATGACTAACTGTGCGGTGCTCGCAGCGACTTCCTGAGAGGCAACCACCAGTTCTTCGAATTTGCCTTTTTGGTTCACCACGCGATCCGCAGCGTCCACTAGGACATGAGCCCGTAAACCGACCGCCTTGGCGGCTGAAAATAAGCCTTCGGTCCACTGGTGATGCCGCTTGTAAAACTCCTTTTCTGACGCTGTACCGCGACCCTGAGAAACAATTTCCTTCTGCAAAACATTGGCGTCGCGAACCAGTCGAAGAACAGCCTGAAATTAAAGAGAGTTGAAGGCTGGCAATGACGACGGGTAAACGATCATTATCACACTTTTGCCAAACCTGAAGAAGATACAAACAAAATGGAGCTGATTCATTAAGCTCATAGAAATATGAGCCGAAATTTCAGTTCATCAGTAAATTTTATCATAAAGTCCTTCTTAAGCTATCAATTCTGTGACAAATCGTCGAATAAATTTTTTGCAAATTCTTGAAACAATTGTTATGAACTAATGAGTGAACAGTTTCAATCTGAAAATTCTATTTTAAGCCAATTTTTCTCTTTGTAACATTATAAATTGGCGATAGCGATAAAATATTCACAGAGAAATTCAAAAATGACAAGATGATATAATTCCGAAAACTCGTTGGGATTCTGTCTTCTTCGATATATTTTTTTGAAAATATTCATTTACATCTCGTACCTAATTTTATTCAGCCATTAGGTGGCTGGGTGAAAGCGAATTGTAGCCGCAAGACGAACACCGAGAGCATGAGCGCATGTCTCGCTCGGCAACAATACATTAAAGCACAATGCTATCCCTATTATTCACAGGCTAAGGGCAAACGCTATCCTTTCTCTGACTGGTGGTACCAAAACCCAGTCAGGTGAAATTTCTTGGTCAATCTAATCGGCAGTTAAACAACTTCACGCCACGCTTCCAAAGTGCGAAGGAAACTACTAACCAACTGTGCCACTGCCCATATGAACGCATTGTTGTTTTTCCATCACTTTCTATTTCTTTTGATCGAGATGAAGATCATTTCTTTCGACATAATAGACGTCGTCTTCTTCTCAACGCGTTGAGCAGTAAGACGTTGCATAATCCAGATCCGCGAGGTTAATGAAAGGGTAGCTAGATCTTCATCTTCGGCCTAACGTCAGTCCTTCTCCACTGAAATTATCTTCGGACTGCCTACAAATCCGACGCCCACTGGCGGAAGGACATTGCCTTGTCTTACACTATTTTTGATTTCACACCACTTACGTACAGCGGTACTGTACATGTTCTCAAACATAATCATTAGGTCACATGATTATCGAAATAACGTAGGATCTTCCACTGGTGGGTCGATGTACTGTATCAAACACAGCTTTGAAATCGACGGAAACACAGTATTACGCGAGTAGGAATCTACAATACCGTTCAATAATCTTGCGCTGCAGTGCTGAATGCTCACTGCATGATCAACCCTTTCTGAAACTGGTCTGGTTTCCCTGCTTTTTGTCAGCTAATATTCCAACTGCCATTAATCGATGCTGCCATCCTTGGTTATGTCGGCTTAAAAGGATATAAAGCTAGCAGTGAATGAA